TGATTAATAACAACCAACCATATAGATTACATATTACTTGACTGTATGTCTGATCTTCAGTTTGGTAGATACTCAAGCTCTAGCTACAAAAAAACTGAGATAACTGATTTTCACTTTGTTCAGTGTCGTGTTGGCTGGTAAGTGAAATGTACTGAAGAAACAGAAGAATATGCTGAATTCTGAATGGACGGTGCTGGTTGGTAAAATTTTCTTTACACGACTTCACATGCATTAAAAAAACTGATGACCAATTTGTAGAAAAACGTTTAAAATTAAACTTTTTAAAATACGACACAGTTAGACATTTTTGATTTGTGATATTAAGTCATCGCCTCTTAAGGAAGATTATAGCTCCTTAGTTTTCATCGATGTCCATGTAGGCACCATGAACGTACATTAATCCTGACCGGAAGATGCTTTGTGTGCAATTGCATAGTGAACAAATCGGAATATTTAGCACGCTTCCGTTAACTCACCTTTCATGTCGCTCGCCAGTGATAGAAAATTCGCTGCCCGAAAAAGCCTCTATCAATACAAGAATCACCAGAAGTTTTTGGGTAGCCATTCTAAAGTCCTGTCAAAGAAAATCAAGCGATATTCAAAAATGAAAAAGAAAGAAAACACGCATACATGTACTAACTCACTAACAAGAACAGATCCTCTCAGGCTAAACAAAAAAGAAAAAAAAATGGAAGCAATAATAATACCTTATCTTAATGTTTCTCCGCAATATCGACAAAAAGATTTTTTCATCAACTGGTTATATATACGATGATCCAACATAAAAGGAAGAGGTTTCGATCACACATTTTAAACACTTATAAACCTGAGTTGATAAAACGATGTTTGGTTAGCACTTTTCCCGTGAAATCTGTCGGAGATAACATGTTGTTACCAAGAAATTTGCAAAACAATCAATTAGCCATCTTGTACCTTGCCAAATTGTCAAGTTATCAATAATAAATGATTGGAAGAAATACGTACTATTTTGAAATCAACCATGTTATTTTTTATCGAATGTTTCCAAAATTATGTCAAAGCTAATTCCTTTTATTTCTAGCATATTCATTTTCTTCATTGAAGATTTACGAAATTATATGATAAGCGTTGTGTCATGTCTTCAGAAGGAATAAGAACTCTTTTTTAGTTTCTCAAACAAACGTTTTTGGAACCAATGCCCGTTTGAAAATGAAGCGTTTCTCAGCAGCATATTTGGAGGATTATTTAGCATATCAGTTGGATATCTTAATACTCCACTATGAAAATGAAAACAGTTTTATTTTCTTAATGCAGTCAGGGTGTAGAAAATATAAATAACTACAAGTTACCTAATAAAACAAAGAAAAAAATACAAGCCATACATTTTAACAATCAAGTGCAAGGGAAATCGCTGGTCATGTATTTAATTATATTTACGCAAGAGTTGTATATCTGGTTAGATGAATAGATCTCTTCGCCTTGTTTTTTTGTTTTTTGTTTTTTCATGCATACTACCGCTCGCTACTACTACGATCGCTACTACCGCTGAGGGCGCTGAGGGATCAGTTTCCTCCTCTGACAATACAAACATTACTTTGGATCGAAACCCCCCAACCATGAGCGAGGGTCGTGATACACCAATCACTAACAACCACGGTGGTACAAATAGTCCGACTCACTAAGTCGATGATGAAGACCTGCAGTGTGCTGTCGAAACGACGGGATCAATCAAAGGACAATCGTGAGCAGATAAACTAAACCCTTTTTAAACATGGGTACTTGCCTGTTTTTCCAGTTTAGAGATCCATTTTTTTAGGAACCAGAATCCCTTAAAGATCAGCTGAAATAGGGAGATTTGAATCTTTTTAACGGTTAATATTAAACAACATTTTTAACGGTTGACGGTTAAATTTTAGGCCGTTTGACGGCTGACGGTTAACCCCATTGAGACCCTCGGTTGTGCGTTCTGGGTCTGTCATATCTACGTTCTGGGTCCGATCTCTGCCGTCAACTCGATTCTTTCCGAAAGTCTTGTCTTAAATGATACTTGGTGTCGTGAGTTTAATCGTTTCTTTTTCCTTCTGTTCAGCTTAAACCCGCCTGCCCTGCCACTTTCTAAGGCGCCCTCAAGAAGACCTCATTACCAAATAAGCTTTGTACGCTATTTCACGAGTATGCTGCCCATTTTCAATCAACTCCGAAAATGTCTCTTTCAGTCATAAAAATGACGCTTTGATACAGGACTGCAAAGCTTGCAGGAAGCACATGGAGGTCGACTGTTGGTACGCCTTAACCTACCAAGAGTTTTGATATCTAAGGACTAATTCGCCCCTGATAGGTTACGTACGACAAAGTGGAAAATCAGACACTTCTTTATATTCATGATTCTTGAAATGTCGATCACCGTGCCCTTATCATTGCCTTTTCCATGAATGGAAACTGACGTGAATAAAAAAGAGTGGAACCAGTCTTTGCTGCTATGTTTGGTCAATTTAAGATGACGTCATGCATGAACCCCTTTTCAGGTAGTTTTTCATCATGAAACTGGCAGAAAAGTAAAAAAACAAAGAAAAAAAATAGCTTGAGAATATTAATGAGCAACTAATTGGAAATTTCCCTAGCGTGTTAAGAAAAAAATTTGATACCAATAGTTGTCATTTACATGGTTGTGAGAATTGTCAAGAATTTATTTTTGAAACAAGAAGGCAGATGGCGTGTCCCAAAAAGAGAGGAAACATTAACAACATCATTTTAAATAGCGAACTCCTGGGGGTTGTTTTGGTTTGAAAGATATTTCATTTTCCGTTAAAAGGAACTGCAAAATTGACGCAGAAACAAAGTATTCTATTTAAATTGGCTTGAACAATACGTTTATTATTCATTTTCTTCGTATCATTTGATTAATAACGACCAACCATATAGATTACATATTACTTGACTGTATGTCTGATCTTCAGTTTGGTAGATACTCAAGCTCTAGCTACAAAAAACTGAGATAACTGATTTTCACTTTGTTCAGTGTCGTGTTGGCTGGTAAGTGAAATGTACTGAAAAAACAGAAGAATATGCTGAATTAAATGGACGGTGCTGGTTGGTAAAATTTTCTTTACACGACTTCACATGCATTAAAAAAACTGATGACCAATTTGTAGAAAAACGTTTAAAATTAAACTTTTTAAAATCACATTCCGATTTTAAATGTACTAGGGCAAACGTAAGGGAAATGCCAGGATGCCGGCAGCATCTGTATCAGATTAGTTACGAACAATACCCTTAGAAATTAAGCAGTTCCTGAAGAATCAAATGATATTAGCTACTCATTTCAATTGCACCTCATTTTGTATTCCTTTTTTAATTATTAAATCAAATTTTGCTTAATCTTTGCTATCAATATAGAAAACATTACCCGAGTATTGATAGTAGGTTATCACCTTAGCTGGCAAACGATCGGATAATGACAATTGTATGATTTATTAAATTTTACAGAGTATATACCTTGAATAAGATTAAACAGAAGCGAACCTTTCTCGATCGTCGTAGTCGCTTAATTGAACTACCTCTCCACGTTGAAAATTAAAAATACTCAGCACGGTTTATGGAAAAAAAATTTTGATCATAAATTAAATGAACCCCTAACGTCTAAAAATAAGAAACCGACTACTACGAGGAAAGTATGGCTGTTGCTTCTTCTTCTTTCTTTCATTCAAGCTTTAATTGTTTAAGCAGAAGTGTCATGTTCGACTGTGAGTATCCCTTTTCTCAAGTGCTATTATCGTTATCTTACATTGTTCACTTAACTATTCTATGAAATTATTGGATAAGGCTGAGAATGATCGATATCTGGAGAATTATTTCATCAGCCGAGGCCGATTAGGTGGATAACACCCTCCGAGACCTCCATGATTCTTCAGATACGAGCGTATGCGATATACTGACTTCTGCAAAACATAAATATCATCATGATAAAATATTTTTGAATGAATAGGTTTTCACACCGGCTTTCCTGCCCATTAAAATCTAAACGACCTTTTACTGTTCGTCTTCCGTTCATTTCAGTCATTTGTTACGTAGATCGAGACTTTTCAACTGTATACTGCTAGTAACAGCTTATATTTGATCCTGAATCCCGCCTAAATAATTTCTCAACAAGACGCCTTTAATAGACGATATTGCAGGACTGCAGTGGTCTAACATTTTCTATTCTGAGTGTATAGCTTAAGTCCTAACAAGTCCTATCCCAAGAAATAGAAAGATAGCGATAGAGCGTTTGTTGATCAAGTTAGATAAACCAAGGGGGAGAGGAGTAATCCGTGTGGCGAAGTTTTTTTTAAATTTTTTGACCCTCTCTCTACCGGTCTCTACCGAGAAAAGTCAAATGAACGGCCCTATTGCATGCATGCAGAATGTAAGACACGCAATGCCTTCTGGGTGGCCCATCATCGATTTTGTTTTTTCCGAAGAAAGCTCTAGCTCATTTTTAACTTTTTAAAGTGGCAAAGCCTGTTTTAACAGGCTTTGCCAGAGGTAGCCCAATAATAAGCCTAAAATATCATTCATTAGTAAAATCCAACTGGTGGTCTATTATCAATGCTGCGTTCTGATTGGTTGAGCTACTACTAGGCTATATGTTATAGCCCACTAGTAGCAAAAAGCGCGGGCTTTTTTGGCGGCAAAAAAGGATTAAAGTCTGCCTTTAACTAGCTAAAAAATTTTTATTCTCGATATTTTGACCAACTAGTTAGATTTTACTAAAACAATTATTCCTCTCGCCCTCATGGCCTCCGAGTCAATAACCCATTAGGCCTTCGGCCTCATGGGCTATTGACCCATTCAGGCTCGAGGAATACTTGTTAAATATGATCGTCAATACATATTTTTTTATTGACTTAGAGCTACTTAGGTGCCAACAACCTTCACACCATGGCAAGCAGTGTATACAAATGATACATGCCAATGTTATTCTTATTCTTCTAGAGGGTTCATCTATACGTCATCAGAGGTGTTGATATATCGCACTTGTAATGGAGATCATGAAAAGAACGATATGCGTCGCGGTGGAGGTTTGTGTACAGTACAAATTACATGTAATGCAGGACCAGGAAATAAAAGAGAGTCGACTGTGTGATAATATATTAAACCCACATTCACTGGGAAATCTCCGCTAACGGCCACCTCTGAACAACAGCCAGATATAGTCTAACCTCCACAAACGGCCACTATTTTTTGTCCCGGTGGACTTATTATCCATACATTGACTTTTGTTTAAATCTCTTTACAACGGTCACTTTCTTCCGTCCTCAAGGTGGCCGTTGTGGAGGGGTTCTGAACTGTAATCAACTAAAGGATTTCCTTAATTAATTATTAGCCTGAAACTTATATTATGAGTGCCAAAAACATCCCTCCAACTTTAGATAAAATAGATAAAATAGCCTCCATCCCAGTCGCTCTCCCTTCGCCCTTAAAAAAAAAAACAGCAACAACAAAAAAACAAAACAAAAAAGGGCTCCTGGCAGGGTATAAATGAAATGTATGTTACTATTGATATTGTGGAAATCTGCGTAGCTACTAGCTATATTGGTTACTGTAGAAACCTCTCCTTTCCAATCGGTAGCATGCACGATATTGACAGTTCCACAATATATGTAGCCCAGTTGCTAATTCCATTCAAATCAGCCTGTGTGCAGACGTCTGCTATTTCCTTTGTTGCAAAAAAGGAGGCAGAGAGTTATTATTCATAGTATTTTTTGTAAGAATAAGAGGGCCATTTCTGTGCACAAAACATAACTTATGTTTAAAATCCTTCATTTTTTAGGTTCTTGTTTTGGTTGCGGCCACCCACGGAATATATCCTGATGGGGCCGATCACTACTGGCCCTTAAATGAGATTTGGTATTCACGTGTCTATGATCACGTGGGATATCCTGTCCAGGGAAGATGGCATGGAACACTCAAAGGTAATGTATATTACCTGCCTCCTCATTTTCACCGATGTTCTAGCTATACCTTCAGAAAAATCTCCATTTTCCCGCAAGGGAGTTAGGGAGCATCCAAACTATTTAAGCATAATTATAATTGTCTCAGAAAAACATTATTTGGAAAATCAAACATGCAAACAACATCAAAAACAAAACGGAACCGCCCCTCCCCCGAAAAATGATTAATAAGAGTGATTTTATTTTCAGGAAAGGCTGAAATGAAGTGGTCCTCTCCTCAGCTTGGGCTCGATCTGTACGATAAAGACACATGGATTGATTTAGGCTGGAGAGAAAACTCCTGTTATGCGGACGTGAAATACTGCAACCAAACTGGATTCACAATTTCATTCTGGGTGGCTTTTTGCGAGGCTAACTCACACCAACGTTTATTTGAATTTGGTAGCGGTGATTGTGGGCTTAACCTTATTCTTACAAATGAAAGTGAAATTGTAGCCACAATAAAAAGCATGGAATTAAGAAAAATATGGACCATAGTAAGTGGGAATGCAACCATTGGTGTCAGGGAATGGCATCATGTGACCCTGACTTGGAACAACAGTGGTGACGTTTATCTCTTCTTAAATGGTACAAGGTACTGCAGTGTTGATATGTATTGAGGTCTTTGCCGTAAATGATACAGAACCGAATCCAATGTAATTTGACGTAAATTAACGGCGAAAAACAAAAAGCTGTGAAGAACTAGTTCTGCGAGTTTTTTGAGCGTTGCAAGTCAAAGTTTTAATTTAGAAGTGTTGGCTTTGAGGAGAGCTAGGCGAAAACTGGAGTACCATGCGGAAAAAACCTCGGGGGACAAAAAAGAGACTGAATCAATATTAAAATCTATGGCGCCTTAACGTCTGTTCTATTGGTGGACGCCTCTTTTCTCAAAACTGCGCTACTTGCTCCCCTAATACCACGATCACTGATGATATTCTCTCTTGAATTACTGTCTGTAGGTTGGAGAATATACAAAAAGAAGAGATTCATTTTACTTGTGCTGATGCAAGTTGCAGTTGCGATTGGGCAATGAAAATTGGCGGCCTTCAATCATATTCTTCCTTGAGGTTTTCTAGAGTGATCATCTGGCATTATGCTTTAGACAACAAAACAATTCAAGATTTATCAACTATAATGCAAGGTAACACAGGCCTAACAATGCAGTGATGTCACAACATCATTACTTTTTCTGTACTCCATTTGTACCCAATTGCATTTACTAAGTAAACTCAAGTTTGGAATTGTGTATTAGGTACTCTATTCTTCCCCAACCCTCCTTTAAAAATTTAAAAAAACATTGAGGTTAATGACATCAGAAAATGGAATTTTGAATCGGAAATCCGGATTCCGGAATCCAAGAAATTTTTGCTTGTGGAATCCGGAATCCTGGGCTTTGGAATCCGGAATACAGCTCAAGGAATCCGGAATCCCACTAACAATTGGAATCCAGAATCTAAGTTCCACTGACTGGAATCCAGTACCTGGAATCCGGAATCCACGGAGTGGAATCCAGAATCCAAGATTGTCTTCGATTCTCTTAGTAAGGCGATTTGAATGTCAAGCAAAGATTGTGCTACCGTTTGGCGACAAAAGAAGTCAAACGTTGTAACAAGCACATCATTACGTCGTATATGGCCGTTTTTGGATCCCCGATACGTTATGACTCCACTTTCGTTCTTGATGGGCAAGAAAAACAAAAGTCTCGAAAAGAAGGGTCAGAAACGAACAACAACACAACACAATATTGATTTCTCTGACCATGTGCTTTTATTACAATGCCACTCGGGCTTATGGGGGATAAGGGGTTTCCAGACCATCATAGTTAGGGAAAAAGACAAACCAATAAGTTAACAGTTTTCACACAATTTTCTTAAGGACTTATCTCAAATCTCCCATTATATATGTTGGTAATGGCCCTGCATAAAGTGTCCGGGCATATTTGAAGGCTTTGTACTGTTAACCAAAGACACGTCCGACAAATCCTTGTTTGACTCTGAATCATGATTCTGGTAGGCCTGCATTTGTCAAACAGAGGATGTGGTGGCTCTTGGATTGCCAATCTCCAATTCTGCTATTATATCAATGCTAACGGGAAGCAAATCTGGGCGGAGGCCAAGAGAATTTGCGACTCATTGCTCGGAAATCTGGTCAGCATCGGAAGCCAAGAAGAGTATGACTTCCTTGAAGATGCAATGAAAAAGAAAAAGGTCTCCTCATGTCTACACATCGGATTACAAAACAACACTGGGAGCTCTGAGCCTTCTTGGGTAGATGGAAATGTTTGGAGTTTTTCAAAACTGAACGGAAGTTACGGGGAGGAAAACAACAATAACTCATGCGTGCACCGTGGCGTAGATGGTCTGTGGTATTTTGGAAAGTGCAACAAGGAATGCGGTCTAATCTGTAAAAAATATAGAGGTATGAGAAATTTCTTATGCCCGGAAGAGGAGGGTAAAAAATTCGATCATACCCCTCGGTTTGTGTAGAATCGCAACTTGTGTCGTCAAGATTTAATTTCTATCAAACATCCAAGCGGTTCAGCGCCATCTTTAATTTTCGAAACATTTCTTTCAGTTTCAAGCCTTGATTTAAAATTTTGGTGTTTGCAAAAGGTTCTCTCGTTGCTACTATAATTCAGTATTGTGTACAAGAATGGCCTTAATGTGTTGTATAACCATTGGAATGCATCATATAAAAAACCTTCGAAGTATTAATCTAGGGTGCTGAAAATATTGCAAACCCTTAAGGAGCCACCTTAATGGCGCCCATTTCTTTTTCCACTACAGGTAATGTGTTTCGAAATGCCGAGTTCCGCTGCCGAGTGCGAAGGCACGATCACCAACTAGTCCATCATCGGGTGTCAATCAGATTGGTTCAGAATGAACTGGCTTGTGCAATTGACTGTTTAATTTATGGTTCGGGCTGCAAGTCATATAACTATAAACACAACTACGACTCAGTATCAAATGGCGAGAACTTATGTGAGCTGAACAGCTCCAGTCAAGGCCAACACCCCGGTAGTCTGATCCGAAACCGTGGCTTTCAGTATTGCGAAAGAGTTTCATTTTAAGAGCTAAGCATGGTACCTCCATTTACAGCTTTTAGTTAATAAGTGAAAAAAAAAAAAAAAAAAAAAAAAAAAAAAAAAAAAAAAAAAATAAAAAAAAAACAAAAAAAAAAAACACTCGAGGGTTTGTGTTTTTTTAAATTTATAATGTGCAACCTTCCTCTCTTTTTATATAATCATAATAAATACTCCCATGCAAATATAAAAAGTTAACAATAAAATTATGAGAGTTACACATGCCAGTTACACGCAAACCCCCCGTTATTTCTTACCGAAACCGGGGTTTTCAGTATTGCAAAAATGTTTCAATTAAGAGGCAAAGATAGTAACCTCCATTTACAACTTTATTTTAAAAAGAAAAAAAAAAAAAAAAAAAAAAAAAGGCAATGTATGTAGTCAGTTTACGTATACCTCACAGAACACACCCCTCGGGGTTAGTGTCATTTTGAAAGTCCAAAGGGTCACTCATCATTAGTTTTAAATGAAGAGTAAATATATGCCCATTTCTATTTGGATAATTTTCATTTGATGGTAGTGGATAGCCTTTCATAATTTCTTCACTTTTTATAAGGTAGCGACTACGTGGTGATCCAAGAGCAATGAATAAATTAGGATTAAAAAAAAAAGAAAAAAAACTACAGTCACCTGTTTCTGAGACGGAAACTGTGCAACCTTGAAACCAAATCTCTGACAATCGGGCCTACAAACAGGCCACCGACAGACGACATTGAGATCTGGGTACCAGATTTGACATAGCAAGGACATACCCTCAAGCCTCGACTAATAGAGAGTTATTATTGACTACGTAAATAATGCAGGGACAAACTGGTGTAGGTATCTACTAGCGAGGTGATCGCTTAGACGGAGATGAAGGTAGGGGAAGCAAGCAAAATGTTACAGAAGTTTTCAAATCCAAAAACTAAGAATCCCCTTGGGTCTACTGGTGGGCATAAGCGTTCGCCGACTGATTCATTGACCGTGC